GTCTTTTAATTTCATGGCTGCAGTCTCCGTCTGCGGTGATCTTGGAGCCCAAATAAATGAAGTCTGTTACTGCTTCCATTTCTACCATACAATGCCATACATTACTACTGGAATATAATAAATATAAACATATAAATTATATGTACAATATATTGGAATACAATATAGCTGTCTACAGCAGGCAGCCAAAATCCTGGCATTAGATGCCCTAAGAAAATGGTTCTTGGAATCTCAGAAGACTCTTGCTGATTCTAGATCAGCTAAATTCCCCCAAACCTTCCAGCATTTTGATCTCTTCCAGGTCAAGCTGCAAGAAAACTTGTTTTTCTCTGTTACTCTTCAAAGATATGGGGGAGTGATTTCCAGTTCTTGCTTCTCATTAGGGCATATCAAATAATCAACCAAGATCATGCCCAGGCAATCAACAAAGCATAACCACCATCTCAGTAAGAGAATAGTAAGTTTGAAGAGCCAGCTTGAAACACAGATGTGTCACTAAGGTGACTGACTAAAGAGTATCTGTTTTTTGGAAGTGACATTTCATTTATTTTGTTTCCCACTGCAGGGACCACCTGGAAAGGATGGCTTGCCTGGGCACCCAGGACAACGGGGAGAAACTGTAAGAATGTTGTTTATACTGCTATATATGTTCATCTGTTTAGCTTACTCTATTGGGTGGAAATGTGATTCACGTAATAACAAAAAGGACTTAATTATGTTCTTGTTCCATGATGTGGTCAATTAGGTTTATTTTTGAGTATCATTGTTAAATAGGCATCTTTTTTGGCTGTCCACCTAAAGATGGATAGGACATCAGGGTTATGCTTCAGATAGCATCTGTTTGATCCAGAACATCCCTTGGTATGTTCAGTGAACTGTTTCCTCTCGTTCTGAAGAACCTGTTAGAGGCTTCAACAATGCCATATACTTGCCTTTGCATCCCATGCCAGTTCTGGAGACCCATGCTTACCTTTGGCAAGACCTTCTGTTCATGTAAAGCTTCCTAAATGAATAACATCTGCAAAATTCCTGTTACTCCAGACTAGCAGTTCTCAAGCATTTTGGTCTCAGGATCTCTTTACATTCTTAAAAATGATTGAGAACCCCCAAAGAGCGTTGGTTTATGTGGGTTTTATCTACTGATATGTACTGTATTAGAAATTAAAACTGAGAAATGGTAAAATGTTTATTTATTTGACTTCATGGACCCCATGAAAGAGTCTCAGGGACCCCCACTTTGGGGGATTTTGTAAAAATTGCCCAAAAATTCATTGCTACATTCATAGACTTTGGTAAGTTATAACTGAATTACAATTGTTTCTTCCTATTCATGCTGTCAAAGTGAAGTGAACATAAAATAAAACCTTAAACTAACAGGCCATTTGTGGGGAAGATGTGTTTGTTAAAGCCAAGTGTCCAGTAAATCTGAATCTTTGTCATTTGTGTCAGTTTACATTATTTATGTCATTAAATAATTGCCATAAATTATGTCATTGGCAGTAAAACTTTAATAAACAACCCCTCTCCCATCCCTCAGGACTGACTTTTTCATTAGGCACAATAGGTGCTATGCCTAGGGCCGACAAATATATTTTAATTTTTTTTAATAATAATTTTTTTAAATTATTCATCCTGATTTAATTATGTTCATGCCTTTTAATTAAAAACAGGCAAGAAATGCCCAAAATTTGAACATCAAAATGATGGCCTTATTTGTAATCTATAGGCATACGGTGAATATTAAAATTTAGTAACTTGGATGATATGTAGCAGACATCATAATTAATCGGCAACAACTGATTATTATTACAAAATAATGCATATATTATTTACTATTCTGTATTTATCTGTAAAAATATGAAGAACATATTAATTTAATTTATTTATTCTATTTGGACACTGCTGGACTCCAACCAATTTAATTTTCAATACTATTATTTTTATGGAGGAAGGGAGGAGCCCATGAAGGCAAAAGTGCCTAGGGCCCACAAAAATCATAATCTAGCCCACCCCACATGCCATTTAATGTGTGTCTGTTAAATGGGGGAAGAATCCAAATGTCTCCATTATTTGAAGTCTGCTGAATTAAAGTCTGTTAAACCAAAGTGTTGTAAATTCAGAACATGTTTCATGGCATTTTGACAACAAGTAAAAACTGCTTTCAGTTTCAGTGATCCTGATGAACTACCAAAATGTATTTTTGATGCTATTATGTTGTTTGTTATAAATCTTGTTTTAATTATGTTGATTTTGTTATCATTATTACTGCTGTAGCCAATGGAAAATCAGGGATGTATATTTGTATATTGCTAAATGGATGAATGGATGTATAATTCATACCAGAAGAGTACAATTCACATGTTGAAAACAAAGTTCATAAAAAGTATTTTAAAACTTCAAACTCACTCTCCTTCAAGAATACAGAACAACAACTACCGTCGTGCACAGGAAAGCAGTTTCAGGAAACTGACTTCTGTAGCTCAAAAGTACAGTGTGGCCCCTAGAGCTTCAGTTGCTATTAAAATACAAACGTGACAAAGGGAAATAATAATACAAACTGTATTAAGTTAATTTGAATCTGAATTAAATTAAATCAAATGTAGGTTTTGTAGTGGGTCCCCAATACCCCATTCAAAGGTCAAATGTGGTCCTGTGTCTGCAAAGAAATGTTTATTCCTATCTCCAGCCTGAATGTACCTGGAGAGTATAAGATTGTGAAAGGCTGTGTCAGACCTCTTCCACAGCTTCATTCTTAAGACTCTAAAAATGCAGTAACCCTATAAATTAGGAGTTAAAAATACAAGGAGTTCCCATTTATATCTGTCTCACAGGCATCCGGGAGGTAAGGAGGAGCCAAAGAGGACATCAGAAGATGTCACCACACAAATGTTGTGACTTCCGTACTTGCATCAGATATAGGACTGCAGATACATAATGGTGCTATTTGTGTAATAACACCATTGTACATGTATTGTCGTTCTGACACTGCAGCTTGCGGTAGACACTGCTGGTCAGTTTCAAACTATTTTGCCGCTGCAGATCCCTCTCCTTGAAATACCAAGGGAAAATTCACTTGTCTCCATATCACACATTCTTTCATTCTGAGACAGAATTAGATGTTTGGCCACAGACACAGTAGAACGACATGAAGCTGAAAGAAACGTCAGTCATCCCCACTGAAAAAAATTAACAGATTCAGCAAAATATACCTAATATTCCTTCTTTACCTATTGTTTCTTTTTTCCCCTGTAGTATTCCTCACCTTTCACTTTCCACTGCTAATGCAGTAAGAGTTAGGAATGTGTGGTATGTGTTATCGTGCTTAACGCTGTTCCACTGGAAATAGCACCTTGTCCCAGCCACTTTGCATCTTTCAGCGGAGGTTTGTCCACCTGTTGCCTGCTGCCAAATTCCTTCTTCTGCCCCGAAATGTAACCAAATGGGTTAGCTAAAACAGAGGCTTTATGCAGACACAGAAGAAAATGCAGACAAATTGCTGGTTCACGGGATTCATAATGTGAGCTGAATAGTTCAGTTATTTGCAGATCCATGTATAAGTGGATTTGTCGTTAGAAGAAAATGCTTTAGGAAACCTTTTCATGCTCCCCCCTTTTCTAAAAAAAATCATCTATCATTCTTTGGCATTGTTGATCTCTTTCTTTAAATGGTTGATTTACCACACTGCTACAAGAAAACATCCATCTTTCTGTGGCACTTCCCGTAGTGTGTGCATCAAGTATCGCAGGATTATAGCTCCTCCTAGATTTTGCCTGAAGCAAGCATTCAAGGCAAATTTGGAAACTCCTAAATTGCTAAAAGATCCAAAGCGTTCTGAGAGATATTGGAAGGATATCTTCCAATAGGGAGGATATTTTAATGCAAAGTGTGAAATTTTCTTAAAGGAAATTTCATGCAACCCATTCTATTCATATAGAAAATATTTATCAGAGTTCTTGGTCTGCTTTATTAAAGGCAACATGAAATACATACTGGCCTCTCTTCCTTCATTTTCACACTTACCTCTTTCTTTTTTTAAAAAAAATCAGTCAATATTTCAGGCAGGGATAGGCAGGTTTTCAGAAATCCACTTTTTTCCATTACACTTTTTTCCCTTCCCCTCCTCCTTGTCTCCATGGATGGATGGATGGATGGATGGATGGATGGATGGATGGATTTTTGTGAACATCTGAACACATCTTTATAAGACTGGATGGGGTGAAGTTAGGTTTTCATTCTGTTGTTTTAAAATGCTTATAATAGAAAAGGTTTCATAGAGTTCTGAAAAATGATTTTATGTTGCTAATCCTATGCCTTTAAGTCAGTATTTCTTCTTGCTCTCACTTTTAAAAATTATGGAGGACCCCAAAAGAACTTTTGTTTGTATGGGTTATACTTATCGATATTTAACATATTAAAAATTAAAATTGATGCATTTGTAGAATATTTATTGAATCATGTAAAAATAACAATATTAAACCCATTAGATATTAACAGAAATAAAATATTTATCATGAAAAAGTCCTATTTTTAAAAAATTATTATTATTATTATTATTATTATTATTATTATTATTATTATT